CTCTCTCTCTCTCTCTCTCTCTCTCTCTCTCTCTCTCTCTCTCTCTCTCTCTCTCTCTCTCTCTCTCTCTCTCTCTCTCTCTCTGTTTTTAAAAGTCACCACAGCCACCTCTTTTTCACCCAGATGCATAGATGCTATATTTGGAACAATGTCACCATGCGGTCTTGCCATATGATATCCCAGAGTGGTGTTTTTACTTAATTTTGATGAAATAGAAATCTCACTGTTCTACTCCGAATGGTAGAAGGCCTCCCACGTCTGTATAGTTCAAAAGGACGTGTACACAATGTTCGCTTTCAGCACACTTGCACCTTTTATTTTGTTTTCTTAGGCATGCTCCTTAGCATGCACTAAGCAATTCTCTCTCTCTCTCTCTCTCTCTCTCTCTCTCTCTCTCTCTCTCTCTCTCTCTCTCTCTCTCTCTCTCTCTGCGCTTTTAACAACAGCAACCAGTTTTTCACCCATATGCATAGATGTCAAATTTGAAACAATGTCACCATTGAATCTTTAAAGATGAGGTAAACTAGCCACTTCAATGTTGTGCTCTGAATAGTCCAAGGTCTCCCATGTCTATGTACTTGAAACAGTTCTGTACCCATTCGTTGGCTTTCAGCACACTTGCACACTTTACTTTACCTGTTCTCTTAGTGGTACTCATCGTATGCATTTCGCAAATCTGCACGAGAGAGAGAGAGAGAGAGAGAGAGAGAGAGAGAGAGAGAGAGAGAGAGATGGGAGATGAAAGCTGAGACAACTTGTAGGAGCAACGACAAACCAAAACAGTAAGCAATCCCCATAGGCAACATACCTTGACTTCCCATAACCATCATTATCACTCATGAAGTTCACTCTTGGCTCTGTCAGATTCCGAGCATCATGAGCCCAAGCATGCTTTGCATGTGCCCACTCTCCATACTCTCCAGCACCTGCAATGACAAGTTTAGCACACAAACATGCTATCAAGCAACAATCTTTTGCTCACCTTTCAGGCAGCAACTAAGAGGGTGCAGAAGAAAGAGAACGACTTTCACCAGCCTCCCGAGCATGTGTTACTTGCTGTATATATAGCTGTATTTCTAACGGGCAGTCTTGGCTCAGGCTTGTAAAATACGTTTTTGTGTTGGGTTTTAAACCTGGTTTATTGCACACACATGAATGGTTTATATTTTCTTCTACATACTATCACTCAGTCCCAAATGCCACACTTGAACTAGGACTTGCTATTCCAACTGCTTTCATTTACCTTCCTCTGCATACTATTCCTCAGCCCCAAACACCATACCTCATCTAGGACTGAATCCCCTTATAACAATGGCCACGTAGATTCCGGAAACAGCGGCCATGACTTGGCATTTCATGACAATTCTTCGGAATCAATAGAATGCATAAAAGTCACTAACTCTGTCTCTTATGCAGACAGGATCATGCCATCGCAGCCATTATCTTGATTTAATCTTAAGTCTGATGCTTCAGCCCGAACTTCCAATGGCCCTGAGCAAAAGCAGACCTGCCTAGCAACCTTTACAATGCCACGAAGGTAAGAGGTTTGGAAAATGTTGTAAATTCCAAATGGAAAGTTTACACCACAAAAGGTCATGAGAGGGTTTGACAAGGGCTAGCCGCCCCTCACCCTTCAAAAAGATGATGTATCATGGAAATCTACAGCATCATACTCTATTGCACAAGACAACCTGGCAGAATCTCTCTCTCTCTCTCTCTCTCTCTCTCTCTCTCTCTCTCTCTCTCTCTCTCTCTCTCTCTCTCTCTCTCTCTCTCTCTCTCTCTCTTTGTGTGTGTGCAACCAACAACACACACATCCACAATCAAGCACATACCCACCCAATCATATGTCTGTTGAAGGCAAAAGCCACAATAGGCGGACACTAGTACTTCACAAAGGAAGTCCCTTACCATAGTTTGCGACAGAGTCAATAATTCTCAACAGCAGAGTCATGTTTGTAGTGTCATCAGCCCTCTCCTTCATCATGTACCTGTCACACGAACCCGTTGCAATATGGGAGATCAATCCTTGACCAAAATCAGCGCGGAATGTTTAACAGAAAGGAAATAGAGAGAGGAAGAAAGAGAGTAGAAAGGAGAGAAAAGAGGAAGATGATTGACACCACAATTGAACATTGCAAACAATTGAGAGAGATTGTTGACAGTGTAAACAGAACACTGAGACTCACATCTGCTGTGGAATTACATGGGGAACTACATGACTATTATTCATACTCACATCTGGTGTAGAATGAGTTGACAGACTACCTAACTGTTGCACGATATCACACCCTGCTCTTGGCACCAACCCCCTAACCTGACCTGTACCTCACCCTGCATGCAGGGCTACAACTCATTCCACGGCCGACATCCCAGTCCCACCCTTGGTGCCGATCCCAAGCTCAGCCACAAAAACCTGACCATCAAAGAATAGTGGATGCTACCCTTGTTGCCAATCCCAAATATGACCCATAGCACACCCTTCACACCAACCCCCCTCTTTTGAGGATGACGTTCAGGCAGGGCCGGCACGGGTGGTTGGGCGATGGAATGCAGGTCCTGTCTAGGGCGGGGTCACTAAGGCAGCGATGTTTGTTCTGGCGGCCTGTTTGGGGCTGAAGAGGTGGCTATCCGCCCATAGCATTGTTACCTGGTTATGTTTGACAGTGCCTGCACAGTCAAGCCCCCGTAACACGGGCAATCAATGCTGGCAGGTGACACGGTGAAGTTCAGCCTTGAGATGTTCAGTGGGACGCTGGACCTGTTTTCCAGCAGGTGCTTCTCCCCACCAATAGATTGGTCCAACCAGGAGGGCTGCTAGGAGGGGGTGCTCATATCGCCCCTCCTAGCATGGCAGTGTGGTTTTCACAAAAAACAAAGAAGGAAAAAAAGAAAAGGCACGTACACTGTGCAACAAAAGTTGAGGGCACAACTTTGTGGAAAAGAGACATTACCAATACCGTAGTGCCCCTTGAACCGTCATTGGCTGGGCAACGAAATAGCTATGGTACAGGGGAGCAGGCATTGGCCAGGCACATAGTTGCGCTTTCAAAGAGAAATTAAAAAAATATCTCGCAACTGTGACGAATGAACGACCTTTTTTTTTTTTCCCTTCCAACCAATGGCTTCAATGGGTGTGCAGATGTAACCAAAAAAGAGAGGGGGGGGAGAAACGACAAAAAACAACAGGAGAAAGCCATGTGCCGCCTCATAACATCCTCCTCCTCTTCCTCCTCCATCTCCCCCCCTCCTCATCGCGGCCTCATCACCTTTTTTTTAATGGAAACATGGAATAGCAATGGTATCTCCTCCTCGTCACATCCTCCTCTTCTGTCTCCTCCATCTCTCCTCCTCCTCATCGCCGCCGCCGCCGCCGCCTCCTCACCTCCTCGTCATCTCCTTGTCACCTCCTCCTCCTCCTCTTCCTCCATGGCTACTCCTCGTCATGGCCTCATCTTTTTCTGTTTTGTGTACGGACATGGGGAACGTGGATGGTGTCTCCTCCTCCTGCTCCTCGCCTCCAGCCGCCTCCTCCGCCTCACCTCCTCGTCATCTCCTTGTCACCTCCTCCTCCTCTTCCTCCATGTCTACTCCTCGTCATGGCCTCGTCATCATGTTTTTCTGTTTTATGTACGGACATGGGGAACATGGATGGTGCCTCCTCCTGCTCCTCGCCTCCAGCTTGTCATCTCCTTGGAATGCTGCTGCTGTCTCCTCCTCCTCCTCGCCTCCTGCTCATTCTTACATATGGAAACGGGGTATGTGTCCTCCTCCTACTCCTCACCCCCTCCCTGACACCTCCTCGTTGCCTTTCTCCTTTTTTTTCTTTCTACTGTGGGAACTCGGAACGCTCATGTTGTCTCCTCACCTCCTGCTCGTCACTGTTCTTTTTCCCCCAATATGGAAACTTGGATTGCCGATGTCGTCTTGTCCTCATCCTCATCTCCACCGTCTCTCCTCCTCGTCACCTCCTACTCCTCTCCTCCATTGAAAAATGTGGCAAATTGCAATTGTTTTCTTTGCCGAAAGATCGTTAATCACAATTTTATTTTCTCTTTGCCGTTCTGGAAAAGCAGTTAAGTGCAATTTTATGTCTTCTGTTCGTGTTTGGAAAGGCCGAAAGTGCAATGCGGAACAAGGTTGATTTCCTGGGGTGTTGGGGGGTTAGGGGCCAGGATGGTGAATCGGGGGCGTTTTTAAGAGTGGATGCGGAATAAGGCTGATTTTGCGGCTTCTGTTCAACGGTTCCACCGGTGTGCAGGTCACTACGACGAGCTGCAAGTACAGTTCCACAATGTTCAAGCCACATTGCCATCAAGACAAGGTCGCAGGGAAACATGCCACCTTGAGTACTTTTGGGGGAGGGGGGGTTTGGCGGGGGGGTGAACTGCTTCTGCCCATGGAGGAGTGGACCTCTTCACACAGTTCAGGCGTGAAACTGCACCAGAAGGGAGATGACCTCACCAGACAGTGCACGGCCCCGTGCAGTCCTGTATGGCATGGGTATGGTATACTGGAAGCGGCGAAGGTACTGGACCGGACTCCTTACGGTGCACCAAGCGGTGCGGTTGCAAGTAAGCTCAAACATTAAAATATTTTCTTGTTTTGGTTCAAGTTACTTTACTTAGGCTGGTGGTGTTTCCTGTACATGTTCTCTTGCTTCTCAAACATCTTTTCTTAAACTTCTTTCAAAAATTCTCCGTATCCTTGAGATTTCCTGTCCATGATCCTTGCCACCCATCCAACCATTTAGATACTAACTCGCATGCCATGTGAAGAACCTGAGCAGTTTCCTCTCTTAGGGACGGAGTCCCTACTCGGACGCCAATGGACCCGACAACAGATAGCAGCTCAACGCTCTCTTCATCTTTGACAGTGTTAGCGTGGCTGAAGTCAGGCAAGCATGTCCACGTCCCCCATAAAGCAGCATCTAGCCGAAGTAGCACAACTCGGAAGTATTCCCGCTCCACTGCAGAGTTACATGGCACAAAGAATTGCAGTGTATGAAACAGTCAAAACACTGAATGAGTTACTTGTCCCTCTCTACCACATTTCAAACTGCAATTGTCCATCTCGGTAACAGTTCAGATGCAAACACGCCCCAAAATCAGCATTGCAACCTGCGTGTGCGCGGGGAAGTAGCATAAATCCAGAGCTTACAAAGAAAGGAAGATAGAAAATATTGAAAAACGTGCTAATCTTCAGCTGGCCCGAACTGCGTTTGATATATACTGGACTGTTTCCGAAGCGACACAGGAAAATTGTGCTTCAGATTGCTGAAGTGAAGAGTGGTTCATGTCCTGTTGACGGGGGAGTCAACTGGTCTTTTACCAACTTTTCGTGGTCTTCTTATCTATTGCCATCGATCTAAAGATTCTAAACCTACACTTTAGCTCACCACGCAGGTAGGATATATAGGTTCACTAGACACTGTGCTAGTTACCTCTGCGACCGAGAAGACCCCGCCTGAGGATGACTCAGTGGTGGCCGTGTCGAAACTAGTCGGGTCCATGCCGCCTGGTTTAAATTGTTTCTATCTTTCAATCCAACATTGCGTTCACTGTCGTGTAAACTTCCAATTCTATATATACAGGAATATTTTTACAATTTCTTAAAGATATAATAAGAAAGGCAAAAAACAACTTATTTAACGCTTTTAGCCTTTCCTGTATTAATTACAAGAATAGGAAACAGCCACAACAAGATTTCCTGTCCCATTTGAAGATACAATTTAAACAGAAAAGAGGTGTCCAGATACACCTCCTTTAAACCCCCTGTTCATATCATATCCCCAACCCCCCTTTGGTGACCCATACAATATTGGCAAGCAAGGCTGCATTCTGAATGCTCAGCCAACTCACAACCTGAACACGGAATCTTTCTTTTCTTTCTTTTTATATCCTTCCACTTTTCTTGAACAGCCTTGTTTACTCGGATGGGTGCACCCCTGCCTGTCGCTCCCGAGCACATGCCCCTGCAGCCTCTCTCCTAACACCTGGGTTCCATTAATGTCTACACAAAAATTTGTCCCCTGTTAGCCCACAGGCCCTTTATGGGAGGAGGGGGGGGGGAGGGGGGGGGGAACAAGGGTTTAACTAGCTGCCAAACCGGGAGAAAAAGCACACGAAGTCCATGTGGCTGAATGGTACACGCATGTAATCGTTTTAGTAAACAGACCATGGGTTCAAATCCTAGCCATGATAGACCTGGCAGCCACATTTAAGGGTTAAAAAAGAGCAAGCCAAGCCATCATAACCAGTCCACAAGAGTCCGATTGGCAGCTCATTCCTTGATAATGGGGCTGGCTCTTTCCATATGCTCGCTGCTACTAGCACCACCGCCAAGTTGACATCATAGATGATTTCCTGCATAATGACATCCAGTGTGCACCAGAGCACACAGACGGGAGAGAGAGAGAGAGAGAGAGAGAGAGAGAGAGAGAGAGAGAGAGAGAGAGAGAGAGAGAGAGAGAGAGAGAG